GTGTGTGTGTGTGTGTGTGTGTGTGTGTGTGTGTGTGTGTGTGTGTGTGTGTGTGTGTGTGTGTGTGTGTGTGTGTGTGTGTGTGTGTGTGTGTGTGTGTGTGTGTGTGTGTGTGTGTGTGTGTGTGTGTGTGTGTGTGTGTGTGTGTGTGTGTGTGTGTGTGTGTGTGTGTGTGTGTGTGTGTGTGTGTGTGTGTGTGTGTGTGTGTGTGTGTGTGTGTGTGTGTGTGTGTGTGTGTGTGTGTGTGTGTGTGTGTGTGTGTGTGTGTGTGTGCAGATGTTGGGCCTTGATACAGAGTGGAATGGCTGCATGTGTTTACATGTGGTTGCATGTGGTTGTATGTGGTTGCATGTGGTTGCATATCTGCTGTATGTTGTTTTTAGAATAGGATTTCAACACTGTAACCCTAAGTTCTAATATCTGGTTTAATCATTTTTTCATTCTTTTTGGTCAGTTTATCTCTATACACTGAATCAGTACTTTTAGTATTTCCAGCAAACTGTTCAGGGATCATACTGTAAATGAACATCCCCACTATAACCTGCACCAGCATCTTTCCTGTGACTTTTGTTTTGGTTCATGTTTTGTTGTGCAATGTCCCTGTAAAAAACATATATACCACACACACCATAGCATAAAAGCTGTATTTGATTGGAACATGTGTACTTCATATCTCATAAATCAAAATCAAACTGATATCCATTTATTTATTTTTTTAACAGTGTTTTCTTGATTCAAATCTGAAAGTTTCCCCAGGTGCCCTCGTGTGAGCAGAGGAATGCAGCGCGTCCTTGTAAAGTGACTAAAAGGTTAATATGTTTTTGAACAAAAGGCTGTGGTCTAAGCTCCGCCCCCTGTCGCCGTGTTACGAGGTTTTAGATCAGAACGACTCAAACCCTGGAATGTGTTTTATGTCAGGTACATGTCACCGTTCACCATTCAGTTTAAATGTTATTCTGCATTATTAGTACGATTCACTGTTACTGCATTTTATTTTAAACATACATTATGTAACTTTTCTAGTATTCAATTAGTTTAAATTCCAACAAAAATATAAAAAGTCAGGTTACCTCTCTACAGATTTTCTGTTCCATAAGGGTGAGTGTTATAAAGTTGTAGGGAGTATTATCTGTTACATAAAATTAAATTGTACAGTTGTAGGGAGTATTATCTTTTCCTTAAGGGTGACTTGTTACACAGTTGTAGGGAGTATTATCTGTCCCACCATAGTCTGGCACAGTGGGTGAGTTGTACAGTTGTAGGGAGTATTATCTGTTAAATAAGGGTGAGTTGTTGTACAGTTGTAGGGAGTATTATCTGTTAAATAAGGGTGAGTTGTTGTACAGTTGTAGGGAGTATTATCTGTTAAATAAGGGTGAGTTGTTGTACAGTTGTAGGGAGTATTATCTGTGGTGGTGTGTCTTATGTGTCATTATCTTTGAGATCAGAATTGTTGAGTTTGTTTGTCGTTAGTTACTTTTTCAAAGGCTCCACTTTGTCACTGATTTGGGCAATAATGAAGAACAAACACACACACACACACACACACACACACACACACACACACACACACACACACACACATACACACACTCAGGTCAGTTTCATTCGTGTCCAGATCACAGGAGCAGAACGGCAGTAGGCTCTGACCCAGTGACTCCCTCCTCTGTCTGACATTTTCACTTTTGTTCAGTATAAAATATTAACCAGCTCAGCCTTAACCTGATCTAGATCTTATAATTACTGCAGCACAAGTGAAGGCCACATCACCCCGACCCCGACTGACGCTGCTTCACTGAGCTGTGAACAGTTTAAAGCAGGTTCAGAACAATAGCAGGTCACATCCAGGTGGTTCAGCTCTGTAGTGAAGAGTTATGGAGGGAGTGAACATGGATATTGAGCTGTTTGGGGATTGGGGTCTGAAATTCTTCAAAACTATATTGTGTTTTTACAAATTATGTATAAAATATAAAATCCTTTAAAAATAACTAAATGTTCTTGTATGTCCCTGTGTCTCTGTGGAGTCAAATTTTAGCCAAAAAACACAACTTGCTCGACTATGGCGTAGACTTGTGCAGTTCCAGCTTGGTCTTGGTTTGAGTCCTGATTTGAGTCTAATTTAGATCCAGATCAGGTTGGACTTTGTTTTCACATTGTAAAATCAGATAGTCAAGTTTTAGTCCAGTTCATCCTGGTTTAGTCAGGATTTAGTTATGGTTCTTCATGTTGTTCTTCACAGCAAAAACTGGAGTTTTAAAATTTCAGGGTAAAAACCCTACAATAACACAAATATGCTCTATTCACACTTACGTCACAAACTAGGACGATGTTTGGAAACATGTGGTGATAACTTCTTTTGGGCTCTGTTTGCTGTAGTAAGTCTGACAAAATGTAGGAAAAATGAGAAATGTCCCAGTTTTCTTCATCTCCATGTCACTGTAGTGTTTCATTATGTTAGGCTCATCAACAATTCCAACCATCCCTCAGTTTTCATCATTTCCACACTGACACACAACACTGAGTGCACTGGTACATGTGATTAGAAGAGATGAGGCCAAACTCAGATGATTCCAAACAGCACATACATCTGCAGTCTTCATTTTACCACTGATCACATTTACTTCAGTGGGTTTGATCACAGTCGGTCGAGTCCAGTGTCTGGAACTACACCGGAAGTTGTCAAGTTGCCAAACGTCTTCCTGGTTTGTGATAAGTGAATAGAGCTGATACATGGACCATCATGTCCAATGACGAGCTGGTCACAGGTGCAAAACAGCCTTGAGACCTGCAGAATTGTATAAATATGAGGTTAAGATTCGTGACATATCACCACTGTTCTATTCTTGCAATATACAATTTATTACATTTTGATGATGATATATGCAAATATTTGTTTACTTTTCAAAATTCTTCATGGTGCTGTTCTGAAGGGTTTTATCTCGTTGAGCTCTGAAAAAACATCTGGAGTAACACACTCATTGTCCACAGACAATGACAGAGACAGCTCTGTCTCCAAATGTAAGAGTGCATATTCATATTTCAGAGTTGTTTTTAAGACACAAAGTGTCATTTGAACTATTTGAACATTTAAATGTGTGTTGGAGTTGGGGTTATTTGCCAGAGTTGATGTGGTTGAAGTGAATGTTAGTGCTAGTGTTCATTCAACTTCCACTAGTGTTAATTTGGCTCCTCCCACCATCTTAAATTAACTCAAATAAAGTGTCAAAATAAAACACCTCTGTGTGTTGTTTTGCTAAATCAAGATAACTCTACAAAGTGTTATCTGTTTACTCTCAAAACATTAATATAAAAATGAAAATGTTCAAACTGATTCTGTGAGAGTCAATTTGAACACTCCACTTTTTGCTGTGTTTGTTTTAACCTGATTTAGTCCTGCTTTAGTCCTGATTTAGTCCTGGTTTAGTCCTGTTTTAGTCCTGTTTTAGTCCTGCTTTAGTCCTGATTTAGTCCTGGTTTAGTCCTGATTTAGTCCTGGTTTAGTCCTGTTTTAGTCCTGCTTTAGTCCTGATTTAGTCCTGGTTTAGTCCTGATTTAGTCCTGGTTTAGTCCTGTTTTAGTCCTGCTTTAGTCCTGATTTAGTCCTGCTTTAGTCCTGATTTAGTCCTGTTTTAGTCCTGTTTTAGTCCTGTTTTAGTCCTGCTTTAGTCCTGATTTAGTCCTGTTTTAGTCCTGCTTTAGTTCTCTACAAACATGTTCTTAAATCCATGAGATTGTTAATTGAAAGTTCAGGTTTCAGTCTTTTCTCAGAAATACACACTGTGACCTGAGTGTTTTAAAACATAGTCTGAAAATCGAATGTGAGGACTTTTCCTGTCGACCTGTGCACTAACCTTTCAGCACTTCTCATAGTACTGCTGTATTTACTCAGAGGTAGTAAAGGAGCTCCAGGCTCTATGGGCTGTGGGACATTATTCTAGCCCAAAACAGCGCACCTTTCCCCCCTGTGTGCTCGGCCGGGCCCCCCTCTCTTCTCTGGAGCATGTTTTATGGTTTTTAATCTGCGTCAGAGCTAACCTATGGAGCACTTCACATCATTTACTGTAAGCAGCTGTTAAAAACACTGTTAACCTTAAAGACAGAGGAGTGGGACAGTTCACATCGAGTTTCAAGGCTTTGAAAGACTCTGGATTATGTAAACTTGACCTTTTGGAGCTTTTAAAGGAGCATTATGTAATTTTTCTGGTGGAAGGTTTAAAAACTTCCTTTCTCTACAGAGATGTTAGTGCTTTACATGGAATATTCCACATTCTAAAAACTTAAAGAGTATGTTAAATATACCAGGTCTAAACTAAGCTCTAACAAAGTTAACATTACTTTTCAGTCAAATATGAGAATATGACAGTAGTGAACATCTGGTACTAAACTAATGTCATTTAAAGTCTTTACATTTAGTCACAGTGTCATTTAAAGGCACATCAAGAGTCTGTTTACTGAAGCCTATGAAACTAAGAACAGGTTTTCTATATTGAAAAAGCTTTTTGGTTAAGACTACAGTCCTCCCAATCACTGACTCTGCATCAAAAACTCAAGCATTTATCACACAGCCTCCTCTTTGTCACAACTTTTACTCCATCTCTGCACTTTCCTCCTGGTGAAGTGTTCCTCTGTCCACACACACACACACACACACACAACACACACCAGTTATTGTTCATGTACAAATGTTTCATTGGTAAAAGTTCATCATACCTCAGATCACTGCTGCACATCCACAGCTCCAGACACACACTGTGCTCCCACACACACTTGACTCTGGTGGTTTTAAAGCTGCAGTTTTGGGACACTCCTCATTCAGTTCTGCAGCAGAGTCTGCAAACTTTCAAACTTAGTTCATTTTTACCTCTGTCGACTTTTAAAACTCCATCCAGAGTATTTGACAGGATCATTACACAGGCTTTTAACACTTTTATATCTTTAATCTGCAAGTGTTTCACTGTCTCATGTTTCTGTTCTCTGTTTCATGTTCTGGATGGTGTCAGACCTCAGACGACAGCCACATCATGTTCATCAACACGATCCACAACAATCACTCTGAGGTCATCACCAGGAACTACATCAACATCACGTTTGTGTGTCGTTACCCGGTCAACTACATGGTCCAGCAGCCCAACGGAGAGAACATGATACGAGTGGATGTCAGGTAAGAACCAGGACTAAACCAGGACTAAACCAGGACTAAACCAGGACTGAATCAGGACTGAAGAACGCCTAAACATGACTGAACCAGGGCTAAATCAGGACTAAACATGGTCCAGAAGCCCAACGGAGAGAACATGATACGAGTGGATGTCAGGTAAGAACCAGGACTAAACCAGGACTAAACCAGGACTAAACCAGGACTGAATCAGGACTGAAGAACGCCTAAACATGACTGAACCAGGGCTAAATCAGGACTAAACATGGTCCAGAAGCCCAATGGAGAGAACATGATACAAGTGGAAGGAGGTAAGAACCAAGATTAAACCAGGACTGAACCAGGACTAAACCAGGACTAAACCAGGACTAAACATGGTCCAGAAGCCCAATGGAGAGAACATGATACAAGTGGAAGGAGGTAAGAACCAAGATTAAACCAGGACTGAACCAGGACTAAACCAGGACTAAACCAGGACTAAACATGGTCCAGAAGCCCAATGGAGAGAACATGATACAAGTGGAAGGAGGTAAGAACCAAGATTAAACCAGGACTGAACCAGGACTAAACCAGGACTAAACCAGGACTAAACCAGGACTAAACATGGTCCAGAAGCCCAATGGAGAGAACATGATACAAGTGGAAGGAGGTAAGAACCAAGATTAAAGCAGGACTGAACCAGGACTAAACCAGGACTAAACCAGGACTAAACCAGGACTAAACCAGGACTGAACCAGGACTAAACCAGGACTAAACCAGGACTAAACCAGGACTGAACCAGGACTACCATATCATCTTGTCAAAGCATCAGCTCTCTCTTTCTCAAAAACTGAAACACTTTAGGGCCATTTTCATTTTACTTGTGTCTCATTTGTCCCTGAGGGTTTCTCAGGACGATCTCTCTGAACATAGAGGATGAAAAATCCAACAGCCTCCTCCTAAAACTATATCTTTATATCTTTATAAATATACAAGTGTGACTGTATTTGTCCCTCAGGACCATCACTCTGAACACGGAGGATGGAAACTTCTCAGTGTCGATGCTTCTGTTTAAAGACGAGATGTTCCAGGACCAGTGGACCACAGTGCCCTCGCTCACCCTGGAGGACAACATCTACGTCAAAGTCTTTATGGTACAGAACAACAGAACACGTCACATTCAAACACATGGACGTCTATAGATCATATTAACTACTGGCTTTTCCTGTGTCCATGTACTTACAAACTGAAACTAGTAGTAGTAGTAATAGTAGTAATAGAAGTAGTAGTAGTAGTAGTTCTTATACATCATGATAATTAGCTGTCTAAGGCTACGTTCAGACTGCAGGGCTTAATGGTCAATTCCGATTTTTTTGTGAAATCCGATGTTTTTGCGAGGTCGTTCACATTTCCAGTTAAATGTGACTTGTATGTGATCCCCTGTGTGAACATTAAACAGCCCAAAAGTGTCCCACATGTGACACTGGAGACACGATGACGTCAACCACAGCGAGCGTGTTCTGTGTTTACGTCCAAACAGTTGTCCAAACATGGACGCAGCATTGAGCACCTGGCGTTCCTCTCGTACCGGAGCCAGAACATGAACAACTTACTTGTTTTAAAGAGGAGATTGAGAAGGAGAAGGACGAGGTTTTTGGTCGTGGTGTTTTGTGGGACAACGGCAGCGACATCTGTTGAAAGGAACATGTGGATGTGGAGACGGAGCCAAGAGTGGTGAGTGGTGATGTGCTTCACTTCAGTGACACCGAGTTCATTAACAATTTTCTCCTACTTCAGTGCAGAATAGTGACGTTTGTGTCTTGTTGATAACGTGTAGGTGGATGAATGCACTTTGGCCGTTCACACTGAAGTCACATGTCAAAAGATCAGATATGTATCGGTTTCAGGAGCACATATCCAAGTGTCCTGGGTCACATTTGAAAAAATCTGATCTGTGTGGTTCAGACTGTCATTAAAAGATCAGATACAGGAACATAGAAGCCAAAAAAATCGGATTTGGGTCACTTCAAGCTGCAGTCTGAACGCAGCCTAAGTCAAGTGAACATGTGCTAGTGAGTCACGCTGATGTTTCTCTGACCCATTTGGACCCCTCAGTACAAACACAGTACAGATACTAGTACTGCTCTGGCTATTCTGGGAGCGGCTAACTTAAGCCTGAGTTACACAACCTGGTGCAATCGTGGATTCTGGAATGTTCTCTGTCATGGTGCAGGCTCCGTGTGACTCTGCAGTAAAATTAGACCCATTTCAAAACCTCGTTCACCCCGCAGAACTTTATTTTGTTTTTTACTATGGCTGGTGCTTGTACCTGTAACTTGGTCTGGTTTGGTCTCATGAAAGGTTTAATGCCACACTGTGAAACATTCCACACAACGCAACAACATCTCCATGGAGAAAAACATTTGACAGACCCTTCTGAAAAGTTACACAATGCACCTTTAATGAGTTTTTGACCTTAAGATCAAATGAAGTCGTTGTGCAGTTCTCCAGGAATGATTCATGGACTAAACCCGAACTAAATCTGGATTAAACCAGCACTAGACCAGGATTAAACCAGATTTAAACCTGGACTAAACAAAAACTAAACCAGGATAAATCAGGACTATACCTAAACTATACCAGAACTAAACCCTTGATCAGATCAGGACTAAACCAGGAATAAACTAGAACTGAACCAAACTACTTATGCATTCACACACACCTCATCAAAACTGGGACCAAACCAGGACTAGAACAGACAAGAGCACCCAGATTACAGTTCTGATCTGTCATAATGCTTCGTATTTTCCACACCATAGGGATAAACCTCCAGCTCCATCAAAAAAAACGACTGCATGCCCCACAATCCAGAGCGCCCTAGACACCAATCCAGCACGTCCAGCACCACTTCAGTAAACTACAAAGCCACACCACCCACAGAACACACAAACACACACGGAGCAGACAGCGACCGCACTCATCACTCCACGCCGACGAGGAACAGGAACGGAGGAACGAATCGAAAAAGCGAGTGCAATGTGCCGCTTCACTGTGAACACGCAGACAATCCGTTGGTCCCAGACAGCACCCTCCCTACACGCCACAACTGAACAACTCCAGAGTCACCGTGAACGAACAAACAAACAAAACACTCACCCATCACACTGTTGGGTTTCATTTAAAGTCCCACGCGGTTTATTTGTGAAAAAAAATTGAAAATAGACCATTTAATGACAGTGCGCCTTATAATCCAGAGTGACTAATAGTGAGGAAAATACGGTAGTTTCTTCATCACAAACAGACCTGGAGTTGTGTTTTGTTTCATTCACGTTTAACACACAATCCCTGCACATTTAGATTGAGTTCTCTCGAACAGAAAACACTCTGTTCCACCTTGTGATGTCAAGTGGATAATTTCAGCACTGGAATTGCCATTCTCTACTGAATAAAAGGTAGCTCTTAAAACTACCACACTAAAACTACCACCACGAGCTCTGAGATGCAGCAGAACATCCAGAACTCTGCAGCTCAGGTCCTGACTCTAACCTGTGGCTCTGGTCTTTGAATGTCTTTCTTATTCTGTAAAGCACTTTAAATATTTTGTGTACAAATTGTGCTATTCAAATAAACTTGCCTTGCCACTACATGACATCACAAGGTGGAACAGAGTATTTTGAGCTTTCACATGTAGACAGGTGAATAATAAAGTGTAACTCTAAACCTGTGTGTGTTGTAGATTCCTGCTCACCTGATGCTGAGGCTGGACAGGTGCTGGGCCACTCCCACCAGTGACCCCTACAGCAACGTCCAGTACAGCTTCATCAGGGACAGGTGAGTCTTTGCCCTCTAACCAGACGGAGGCCGGTTCAAACCGCACCATTCTAAGAAAGTAATATTATTTACACTGATCATGATCAAACTGCAGTCACTGTCCACTTTAACACAAGCCAAAATACATTTGTAAATATCTGAGCAGAAACACTCCTCCTCCATGTTTGGGTCACTGATAAACAGTGTTGGGAAGAAACGAAATACATGAACCAAAAATACACATACAGAAAATTAAAGTGACTAACTGTATTCTGCTGGTACTGTTGCTCATTCATTTGGAGCTTCAGAATGTGATTTCAAATCAGAGGATCACATGACACTATTTGACCACGCAATTTGGCTTCGAAGTGTGTTAGTGTGAGAAAATAGAAACACAGCTGTGTGTGTGTGTGTGTGTGCGTGCGCGTGAGCGTGTGCGTGTGTGTGTGTGCGTGTGTGTGTGAGTGAGAGAGAGATTTTTCCTTCTCTTATTAGAGCAAGTCACATAAAGTTTTTTTTATCTCTTTGGCTATAATATACAATTTTATTATATATATATATATATATATATATATATATATATATATATATATATATATATATATATATATATATATATATATATATACATATATATATATATATATACACACAATATAATATAATGCAACTCTGTGTACTGGAGTATTCAGAACGCAGTACTCTGATTGGACTGTGTAATGGAGCAGGTTACATTTTACTGCAGGTATTCAGTACACTGTAACTAAATACATTTTATTCTTTCCATCACTGTGGAGAACGAACAGAACACAAAACACTCTACAGCAGCATAATAATAATGCTAGTGCTAAAAGGATAAAAGGACTGCCCCAGAGCTAAAGACCTAAATGTGTATGTGGGTGTGTGTGTGTGTGTGTGTGTGCGCGTGTGTGTGTGTGTGTGTGTGTTGTGTGTGTTGTGTGTGTGCGTGCGTGTGTGTGTGTGTGTGTGTGTGTGTGTGTGTGTGTGTGTGTGTGTGTGCGCGTGTGCGTGTGTGTGTGTGTGTGTGTTGTGTGTGTTGTGTGTGTGCGCGTGTGTGTGTGTGTGTGTGTGTGCGTGTGTGCGTGTGTGTGTGTGTGTGTGTGTTGTGTGTGTGTGTGTGTGTGTGTGTGTGTGTGCGTGTGTGTGTGTGTGTGTTGTGTGTGTGCGTGTGTGTGCGTGTGTGCGTGTGTGTGTGTGTGTGTGTGTGTGTGTGTGCGCGTGTGCGTGTGTGTGTGTGTGTGTTGTGTGTGTTGTGTGTGTGCGCGTGTGTGTGTGTGTGTGTGTGTGCGTGTGCGTGTGTGCGTGTGTGTGTGTGTTGTGTGTTGTGTGTGTGTGTGTGTGTGTGTGTGTGTGCGTGCGTGTGTGTGTGTGTGTTTGTGTGTGTGCGTGTGTGTGCGCGTGTGCGTGTGTGTGTGTGTTGTGTGTGCGTGTGTGTGTGTGTGTGTGTGTGTGTGTGTGTGTGTGTGTGTGTTGTGTGTGTGCGTGTGTGTGTGTGTGTGTGTGTGTCTGGGTGCTGTTTCCTCACTCTCAGCTGTCTGACTTTGATGTTGAAATGTGAAATCAGAGAGTTTGTTTCTCTGAACTCTGAGACATGAACCCACTCCTCCAGAGGTCATGTGACTGCAGCAGGTCATGTGACTGCAGCAGGTCATGTGACTGCAGCAGGTCATGTGACTGCAGCAGGTCATGTGACTGCAGCAGGTCATGTGACTCCAGTCCTAATGAATCCGTTTGCAGTACTTTAGTCGTGTAGATTACTTTTTAGTTCCAAACTGAATAAGTTATATTGTTACAACAGTAGAATTTCATTGCCTTGGGAAATAATTATTTTTTATTTTAATATTACACTATGGTCTTGCACTAGTTTAGAAAAAAGTTTCATTTTGTCTTTTTACATGATTGTTATCAATACCAAATGAGTACAGTATCTGGGTTTAGTAATAATGAGCATAAAGTTTTGATAGAACAACAGCCCTGACAGGTTCACACAGCAGCTGATAGTTTGGATATTCTCCTGTAGGTGATACAAAGACTTTCATATATTAAACCTGTTCTATAGTAACTCTGGTCCTCTGTCCCACAGCTGCCCGGTGCTGTCCTCAGACCAGACCCTGACGGTGCTGAAGAACGGTCTGGGCCCAGAGGCTCTGTTCAGGATCCAGATGTTTAAGTTTGTGGGGAGGTCCTACACAAACGTCTTTCTCCACTGTAATGTTCAGATCTGCCACAGCGGAGCAGCTCTGTGTCAACCTGTGAGTCACATGACACTCCAAATATCCTCACATTATAATGTGGACAAGGTGATGGACACAACAAGCCATTTTATGTCCAATTATTATCATATTATCAAGGTGCACTATGTCACTTTTCTGTGTGGGGTCCCTCACCTGCTTGTTTCTATGGAGATGTCATTACTCTGCTTAGAATGTTCCACTGTGTGACATTAAAGAGTTCTACTTCACATTTATTCAATTACAGGTGTTTTTTTTTTTTTAAGCTCAAAAACACCTAGAAAAACATTAGGCGTTCTGACTGATCTCTCCACAGATCTGACCTGTAACGTGTTCTGGTTTGGTCTCCATTGATGGACCCTCCACCAGAAAAGTTACACAATGCACCTTTAATGGGTTATGTGGTGGTATAAGAGACCCTCTGTAGTTTGAGATACATTTATTCATGTTTTTGTCTTCCTCTGGGTTAATCATGTAGATCAGGGGCGTCAAATTCATTTTGGTCTGGGGGTCGTATCCAACCAACTTTGATCCCAAAGGTCCGGATCAGAAAACTCATGACATAAACTCCAAAAATAGCAATAAATTCAAATATTTGTGCAGAGAAACACAAATCTTTTTTGATTGATGAACTCTTTCTTTTACAAAATATTATAACATTATGAACAACCTGAAACTTTAAGAAAAATGTAATTTCAAAACAATGTTTTAACATGAACTTGTTTGCAAATAGGAATAAGTCAATTTTTCTTGTAAAATCCTGAACTCGGCTCCACTTTTCTCATGTTGGACATTTTGTTGATGAGGGTGTCACGGTCAACAGTCAAAACGATCGTCCTTTAAGAGCGTTTGGAAAGAGACAAGTCTTCATTTGTGCTGCTCTGGTGGGAGGGGCCACGTACAGAGACGCTGCTGTGATAAACACCACAGAAAATGAACAAGATTTTAATAGAAAATATAATTAAAATATTTTAGTAGAAAATCAGCCAGATCCGGCCCTCCAAGACCTTTAATCTGGCCCCCGGGTCGTATGTTTGACACTCCTGATATAGACCTACCTCAGCATGATCTAATTTTAGACCTGGTTTAGTCTCATTTTTGACCTACTTCAGTCTTTAATGTAGACGTGATAAAGTCCAGGTTTAGATCTGACGGTACTCTGAAAAACAAAATCTTTTCTGATGTCAAAATGTTTCAAGCTTTGTCCTTAGTTCCAATTATGTGTATAAAAGAAATGTCTATATTTTCGAAGTGTTTTTTTCTTGGTGCACCCCATTTGACGGACCTTCCACCAGAAAAGTTACACAATGCACCTTTAAAGCTTGCGTATTAGAGCAGATATGCCAAAGTGGGCTGTGCAAAGTCAAGTTCAAGTCCTCATCCTGAACCTGGAGTCTCTCTGGGGTCTCATTAAGTCCAGTGTAGACCACGGAGCTATAAAAAGGACGTTCTTATTGACTGTACAGGCCAGAGCTCTATTGTGTACAGCTGAATGAACTAAATATAGACTGACCCTAAACACCGTCTGACCCACACAACTCAGCAATGTGCTAAGTCGCTGCTAATATAAGATCTGAGTCTCTGAGGAGTTTCAACTTAACCTTGTTATGTTAAACAGACATTTGAGCACGTTATAATGGGCTTCACACAGACGCCCTGCCACTACTGGGTCAGGACCAATCCAGATCAGAACATCGGTAAAGAGTTACTGCTTATCGATTATTGAAAAGTAGAAATGAGACGAGACACAATTTCCATAAAACGAGACGAGATATGAGATTGGGTCCACAAGAATGAGATAAAATGAGATTTTAATATAATTACTAATAAACTTCGCAATTCCGTTTCCAGTTTTGGTTTCACAATTTTTTTTTATTTGATTCAAAATGTTTGATTCCATTCTACTAGTGTTTTTAGGAACTGTAAGAGATGTAACTCACCAACCCGTAACCCTTTTTTGTCTTATACTAATGTAAATCTAATGTAAACACTTGGAAAAAAAATCTCACCAGATTAATTGATTGATTTAATTTATGTATTTATTTTGGGCAAGTAAGAAGTGTACATTCTTTTATAATGAACACATAACATTAATGAAATCATAGCAGAAATAACAACAACAAAAAATAAATAAAAATTAAAAATTGGCCCAGAAATGAGTGGGAAGAAGAAAATGTATGTAATCCCACTCCCCTCTTCTAATCTAACACAACGAGCTTTCTTTCACATTTTTCACACATTTTAGATTAAACTATACATACTATTTACAAGTGCAGACAAAGAGTCACTGTTATAGTTTGGTTAGTTAACAGAACTGTATTACAATAATACATAAAGACACCAACAATGGTAAGGAAAATGAAGATACCAACATTGGTAAGGAAACAACAAGCCTAAACCAACACTGCTTAGACGAGCTGCGAAACGTCTTCACTCTAAAACTTTTGTCCAGTTGACAGAATAAAATTTCTGTTTTTCTATTTTTACACTCTACGCTCCACCACAAGTAAAAACAGCGCAGACACAAAGCAGGCAACATGAGTGAGAGATTTGAGCAAAAAAAACAAACAAAAAAAACAAAAAACATTTGGCTTCATAATATCAGTTTGTTTTTAAAATTGTAATTATTGTAGTGTAACTTTTCTATTTTGTGTAATTTCAAGCAGTAAACATCACAGACTGTATAAAGAAGTGGACTAAGCGAGTGATATAAGAGCGAATTTGGAGCCAGGTCCATATTTGGAACAGGAATTTATTAAAGGACAAAATAGCAAAATACAAACACCGGGAAAATGTAGAGCAGGTTAAAAATTTTAAGACCAAAATGACAAGGCTCACTAGCCAGGCTCGCACCACCTAGTGCCTCCGCTCAATTTCATTTCTCATTTCCAGAGACTAGATCAGGAATCAGAATAAACTAGACAGTTTACAAGAAGCGGTAACACTTTATAATAACCACACCTTATTTAGCCAAATAAAGCATGAACAAAGACTGAATTAATAATGATTATTACTTAATTACTACCTGAATTAGCACTTAATTTGCACTTAATTTACCTGTGCTGTAAATAGTTACTCAATACTTCTTAATTACTCATGAACTAACCATTTGCATGTTTACAAATGTATATTTAAGTTCACATTTGAGCATTTATTAATGATTAATAAGCTATGAGAGAATGATTTACTAATAATGCAATGCAATGATCATTCAGGCAGCTGTTATCTGTTAGTTAAGTCTTTCTGAGAGCTTTTCTAAAGTGAAGACTAATTATGTTTATTAAGCATTTGTTAAGGTTGGTCAAATTCCAGAGCAACAGTAATGTATTATTAGTAAATCATTCTCTCCTGGCTTACTAATCATTAATAAATGCTCAAATTTGTACTTAAATATACATTTACAAATGCACACACAAATGGTTAGTTCATGAGTAATTAAGTAAGAAATACTTATGAGTAACTATTTACAGCACAGGCGAATTAAGTGCTAATTCAGGTAGGAATTAAGTAGTTACTAAGCGTGAATCATTATTAATTAAGTCTTTGTTCATGCTTTATTAAGGCTAAATAAGGTGTAGTTATTATAAAGTGTTACCCAAGAACCCCAGAAGTTGTAGGCTGGTCAATCAGCTGTGAGCTGTGAAGCCATGACGTCAAACTCATCGGGTCTGTCTGGATCCCTTTTTTTGGAACAGAACAACAATAAACAAAACGTCAAGATGGATGTAGATGAAGACAGACATTCTGTGTTGGGAATGATTCACAAGATTAAGATTTAAAGATGGAACAAAGAGAATGTTGGGTGAATTTTATCAGTGGGAAAGATGTTATTTTCCTTCTTCCTACGGGATTTGGGAAAAGCTTAATATATCAGTTAAATATCATTAAAAAAAGTACCCGCCTACTGTCGAGTGAACAAATCCTAATGCTGCAAGGTCAGACAGTTTCTATGAAGTGAAACTCTCTGATGAATCAGGCTAGAGCTTCACAGCAGCAGTCACAGAGAGAGGGACGACAGTATTGTAATGTAAGTCCAGGGGAGCCAGAGTCAGAAGGAGCCGGAAAAGCAAACTTCGTGTTAGTTGTGTCTAGTTCTACTTACAGTCTATGGTAAAGACACTTGTACTCTCAGTTTGAACCATTTTAAACAGATCTGAGCCTTGGTTTGTTGTTATTGACTTGTCTCATATAAATATTAAAATAAATATTAATATGAAATGAAATTATCCAAAAGATTCGAATCCTATAAAAGAGCCGAAAGTTCCATCGCTGGAAAAGTTAAATAGTGCAACTTTAAACATTATTAAGAAATCCTTTTACCCCCCTGTGAACAGAACTGCTCGAGTGAGGACGGGCTGATGAGGCTGAGGAGAGACATCCCTCTGTCTCACACTGTCTCCTACGGACCAATCAGACGCCTCCTGGACGAAGGCGGGAAGCCCAATACAAGTTTGTGTTTTTATTATTTATAATGATGCTTCAATCCTGTTCAGTGCTTTTCTAAACATTCAGAATCACTTCAGGATTTGGTGCATTATTCATTCTCACAGTCACACTCCACTGAATAATTTGGGATAATGACTTAGTCAGGTTTATTTCAATTTGAGATTTGATCCTGTCAGGAAAAGACTTGACGACTCAAAGAAACATTGGTTTGGAGCAGAGTTAAAAGGAAGAAATGAGGCAAATGTGTGTATGAAACAGCAACGACTGAAAGTCTGTATTCATTCTGTTCAGGAAAGTCAAAGTGAAAGACGTTGTTATTTGTTTTAGTAAAACTAAATAATGGGAATATAACAGCAAACAACAATGAACAATGATGAGCCAGACTCATCCCTGCTGAACTTCACACATCAGACAAGATCAGGTGGTACGACTGCGATATGTAAATTCACTCACCCCACTTTTTTTATTGTAATTACTGTATATTTCATTTATATATGCAGTATATTTCATATGTTTTCAAGTTAAATATTTGTTTGGATTTACAGTAAAATGTATTTTATTCCAATGTTGCATTCCGGAATGTTGCATGTTGTGGATCTCCATGGAGATCTGCCGTCTCCATGGAGATCTGCCGTCTCCATGGAGATTCTGTGGAACATCACTGGACTTTGTGACATCACAGTTTGTCTTGTGTAAGTGGGAGATCAGCTCAGATTTCTTCACTTCGAACCAAACCTTTGTAGAAGACACATCTCAGAACGAGACACTTCAGCAAACACTTTACTCTGTCGACCGCCATGTCCGCACACATCTCCCTCATGTCGACCAACGGCTCCATGCCCCCCTTCAAACGTCTGTACAGCCTGGCACAGGGCCTGGGTTTGCCCGTCAAATTCATCGAGTCCACCACGGCGCCTCACCCCCGCCCCGTCTTCACCGTCCGAGCTTCGGTCGGGCCCTTCTGGGCAGAAACGCAAGGTCCCAACAAGAGAGAGGTGAAGACCAGGGCCTGTGTCATGGTGACAAACATAGTGGAGACGTATCAGAGGAACCACAGTGGCGCTTATGGCTACAGCTACACCAACAGCTACGCCCACCTCCCGCCCCACTGCCATCCAGACTTTGGTCTGAACAAAGACCCCTGCACTCGCCTGTCCGAGCTGCTCATGGCCCGCAAACACCCGCCCGCCCAGTACCGCCTGCTGGAGGGCGCGGTGACCCACACCCACTGGACCTTCTCCATGGAGGTGTCCGTGGACCAGCACACTGCGGTGGGCAAAGGGGGCTCCAAGAAGGAGGCCAGGAGGAGAGCGGCTGCAGTTCTGCTCCAGATGATGGGATACACAGTCCCAGAGGAGGAGCTGATCCCACCTGCTCCTCACCCCACAGCTGAACCTGCTCCTCACCCCACAACTGAACCTGCTCCTCAAACCTCAGCTGAACCTGCTCCTCACCCCACAACAGAACATGCTCCTCAAACCTCAGCAGAACCTGCTCCTCTCACCACAACTGAACCTGCTCCTCTCACCACAACTGAACCTGCTCCTCTCACCACAACAGAACCTGCTCCTCAAACCTCAGCTGAACCTGCTCCTCAACCAGAGAACACTCTGGAGGAGCAGACCAGAGCTCTGCCTGCTCACATCTCTCCGGACTTCCATCTGGAGAAGGATCCCACCACGCACCTGTCTGAGCTGCAGATGATCCGCAGACAGAAGGTCGCTGAGTACCGCCTGGTGAGTGGGGAGCTGGTGAACAGCAGCTGGGTGTTCACTATGGAGGTGACCCTGGACCAGTTCACCGCCTCTGGCTCTGGACGCACAAAAAAGGAGGCCAAGACGAACGCGTCCACCTCACTACTCCTCCTTGACCTTCCCCTGGAGAAACCTGAGGAATTCACTTCAGAGGAGAGGGACAACTCCATGAGTCCAGAGGAGGACAAGATCCAAGACGAGGCAAAGACACTAGACACTCCAGACGATGCAGAGGGTCCAACGTCAGGAGAAACTGGACTGACACAGCAAAGTCCTCAGGAGGAAGAGCTCCTCTGTATGTTGCACAACAGTTCAGTTGCCGACAAATCTCCTGAACACTGTGAGACTCTTTTGAATATGACCATGAGTCCAGAGGCTCCAAAGGAAACTCTAGACCAGGAGAACCAAGAGGAGAACCACATTCCACAAACCACAGCTCAGGACAATCAGGAGGAGCAGCCACTGAACAGCTCAGACAGTGATGATGTGTCAGAAGAGACATCAGAAGAGAGCCACAGACACAGCTCTCATGAACCTGCCGAAGAGGCTCAGGTTTTTATAAACCCTGAGCCTGTTTCAAGTGACTGCTCCGAGGAACGCCAAACTCTGGGTGAGTTCCACAAAGGTCCAGAGGATCTGCAAATTCAAACCGAGACCCAGGATGAAGAGCAGTCAAAGACACTTGAGACTCCCAGTCCAATGGACGCTGAAATCCTGGAGGTACTAAATGAGACCCAGTCTCTGGACATCTCCAAGAGTCCAGAGGAGGCAGAGACCCTAGAGACTTCAGAGGAAGTAGAGTGTCCAACACCAGGAGAAACTGGACTCAGTCAACAAAGTCCTGAGGAGGAAGAGCTGCTCTGTATGTTTGACAACAGCTCAACTAACAACGAATCTCCTGAAAATAACCAGACTCCAGAGCAGCTGGACATCAGCTCTGTGGAAGACCTCAGTCCAACTGAGCCACAAATTCAAGAAGACCAAACCCCTGAGAACACAGAGACACTGATGGAGGTCCAAAATCACCTCCAAACTGCAGACGAGACAAACCCAGAGGAGGTGCAGTTCCACACAGCAGAGAACATAACAGTAGAAGAAGAGTGTGAGAAGTTGGAGCCAGAAAGTCCAGCCTCAGCTCCAGAGCCCCCTGCAGCTCCTCAGGCCTCACAGACCCTGGGCTCAGTGGAAAGCCTGGTGATCCACGCTCTGGTGACAAAACTGCTACAAAAGCTGCCCTCCAAACTGAGGTCCCACCACGATGCTTTAGTGCAGATTCTGGAGAAGGCTCTGGACCAGTTTATTGTCCCAGCTGAAGTTCACATCAAACCCAAAAACATCAAGAAGCTGGGCAAAGCTGGAGCCAGAGACCTGATCCATGAATACGGCTCTGCCTCCAAGCTCCTGGTCATGGCTCTGGGACCGGATCCCACAGACTTCCAGAAGGACGCCATGAAACATCTGAACTTTCATCTCAGCGCCTTCAGGAACCGGCCCAGAACTGTTCTGGCTCGGCTCTTTCCACAGTGGGACAAGCCCAAGAAGAGGGTCTGTTAGACAGCGCCCCCTGTGTCCTTTAAGAGTCACTCGTGTGGTAGAGAGGGGTCAAAGGTCACTGGACACTTTTGAAATTGAGATGTTTCACTTCCATCCAGAGCTCATTTTAAGAGTCAAAACGCTGAATGGAAGTTGAAGTGTTTCCATTTCAAAAACTGTTCAGATGAAACCTGCGACTCCTTTTCTCCCACGAACCAAACGAGGATCACACCGACTCACAGAGACACAACGCAACAAGTCTAATGATTAAAAAAAAGAAATAAACATTTCCCCTCCCCCTAAATATTGTTCTTATCTTTCTTTTATTACTTTGTTTCTCTTAAAGCAGCAGTGTGTAACATTTCTGTAGAGGACACATCACCTGCATGTTTTTAGCAGTGGTCTCAGCAAGACCCTGACATTTCAGCAAAAATTGTAAAACACATTATTTTATTACCTCAATGAATCACAGTCTTGTATTTTTTAGATCTAAATTCTCTCAAACATAAATATGAAGGATTCATGTTCTGGGGCTTAATTCTTTATATCACACAATGTCCCTGAGTCTCCATGGGTTTTATTGTGAGTCAGAGCTGCTCACCCTGTACTTCAGACGTCTACAAACATGTTCTGAAACACATGGGATTCTTCTTTTAGTTTATGAGTTGAGATTTCACTCTTCTCTCAAACGTGAATGTTCTTGGACATGTTTAAAATGTGCACTGTGAACTGAACCTTGGTTTCAAAAATCACAAATACATTTGTAATATTTAAAACAGATGATAAACCGTACACAAAGAAGTGTCTGATTCACCGTCACATTCTTCATTTACTCTTGTCACTTGAACATTATGAACGGCAGAACATAGATAAAGTCATATGTATAATTCATAACTCTGTCTCGTGTACATGAAACAGCAGTGGCCATAACCCTTCATGTACAGAAACCTGCTTCATGTACAGAAACCTGCTTCATGTACAGAAACCTGCTTCATGTACAGAAACCTGCTTCATGTACAGAAACCTGCTGTCACAATCTGTCACAGTATCCAGTGAATTCCAACTTGTTTTGTTGTACCTTCCTAAACAAACAAACAAACAAACAAAATGAAGGTATATCCATTTATATATATATATATATATATATATATATATATATATATATATATATATATATATATATATATATATATATATATATATATATATATATATATACAATCTATGAGTAATGGTTGCATCTTAAATATACATAGAGAATATAGTCATTTTATACTTAAATTTAATTACAATAATGTTTAAATTGCAATGATCACAATTGTCAAATCACAAAAGATGTCCATAAATAGGATGACAAAACATTTTCTGCAGAAAGTTGAATGTCCCTGTGTCTCCATGAGGTCTTACTCTGTAAAAACCTGCTGTTCTGAAATACATGGGATTCTTGTTTCAGTTTCTGAGTTCATGTTTCAGTCTTTTCTCAAATGTTAATACTCTCTGACATGTGAAAAACCAAATCTTGTCTTGAAACACTAATTTAACCACTTTTCCAATGCAGGATGCACCGATAAAATACTGCTATTGTATATTGGCTCTGAGACTGAATATTTTGATGGATCAAATATCAGTTCCAAGATCGATATCCCATTTAGGTCCATAAAATGGTGTAATAAAATGATTTACTGGACAATGTACGCCTCAAACACCTTGTAATATTTTTTCAAAGTTCTTCTGTAGTTACATTAAATGATCAAAACTGTTGTAAAACACATGCTTATATATTTGTTTACAGTACACCGTGCAGAAAATAAATGATGTTTTCAGTCTTTCCTCTGATATCGCTAAATATTCGGCAGATACTTAAAGCCAAAATATCGACGTTGGTATCGAAACAGAAAAGGCTGAATCGGTGCTTTTCTACTCAGCAAAAACTGGAGGGTTAAATTTCAGAGTTGTTTTTAACCAAAAAAAGTGTTATTTTAACTATTTGAAAGTTCAAAGGAGGTCGAGTTGGGGTTATTCACAGAGTTGATATGGTTGAAGTTAATTCAACTTCCCTTAGTGTTAATTTGGCTCCTCCCACCACCACTTCAAACTCCCGTGAGAGAAAACCAGTTTGAACCAGTTTTGTACAGAATTTCATCCTAAATTAACTCAAATAAAGTGTGAAAATAAAACACCTCTGTGTGTTATTTAGCTAAATCAGGTTAACCCTACAAAGTGTTACCTGTTTACTCTCAAAACGTAAATATAACTCTTGATTTCAGGGTTAAACGGAACTTTGGTCCAGTGTTACTTCATAATAACTATGAGAAAAGTTACACTGTGCAGCTTTAAAGGGATCACGGAACCTTCACTTAGAGGCTGCATGCTCAGACCAAATTATGAAGAAACATGTGAAATGTCAAAGAGGTGGTGGGAAACTAAACTTAAGGGTCAAACAAAAGTGCTCGTCTTGCTCAAGGGCGGGCTGAGCGGACGGCTTCGGTTCAGAGCTCTCTCTCGCTCTCTTTTTTTCCAAATGTGACTTTCTCTCGCTCTCGTCTTCCGTTCCATCGCTTCACTCCTCCGTCTATTCGTTCTTCTTCTCCTTCTGTTTGAGCAGCTTGTTGATGGACATTTCCAAAAATATTAAATTAACTCTAGAACAAACTGGACTCATGTAAACACTGAGAAAATGTTCAAATTGATTCTGTGAGAGTCAATTTGAACACTTCACTTTTTACTGTGAATTACAATGCTTGTCAGAGAAAGATTGTAAGAATAGACTTTAGGGATTTTCTGGCCCCAGTACTGGACCCTCTTCCTATTTATTTATATTAGAGGGGGGCCCATGTGAGGCTTCTTGCCCTGGGCCCCCAAATTTCTGTCAACGGGCCTGATTGTAATTCCTTTTCTCTCTTGTGTTCAGACTCCAGCGCAGTGCCCCCGGTGGAGACGTTTGTCCTTGCGGGGTTGCTGGTTGTGTTGCTGTTGATCACTGGAGTGTTTGGGCGTTTGTGGCTTCGCTCCAGACGGTTTTACCCGACCTACGACGCTCAGCTCACCCTCTCCAACATCCACCGCCTCTCCGAAGAAGTGGCCTCGTGAATCCAAAAACACGAGGACACAACCAAAACTATGGACTCAAAAATATTCTGAATTACCAATGGTTGAATGTCAGATTTGTGGAGTTATATTATTAAAATTACATGTAAACCACAAAAGCATCTCATTACTTTCTGATCATGGTCACTCTGATTACACACATCCAACTGTGTAATATTAAATGTTCACTGTGTACCTTTTTGATTTGGGGTCCATCACCTGTGAAACATTCCACACAAAAGAATAACATCTCCACGGAGACAAGAACTTAAAGGTTGTATGGAGGATTTTTTTTTGTTTCAAGTTGTCAATGATAGCATTATAGAGGTGCAGTAGCCTTGTAATTATGATGACCAAAAAAAAGAGAATAAAAATTCATCAACTCTGGACGTGGTGGGGCTAAACATTTGCCAATAGATAACGACACTGCCTCGTTATCTGTGAGCTGACAGGCTGTCAATCAAACTCCCTAAGTTTCTAGCGTAACTGACTTGCCTGTGCGCTGCCGGTACGTGGTTTACGTACGCCTGTCACGCAGTCCACAGACGCAAGACGCACAGACGCTGTTTACTTCACCAACGCAACAGTTCTTAGCGGCTTTTTTTGACCTATATCTTCCTCGCAGTTCGCACAAAGTTTGTTGCAATGGCGACAAGAATCCAGGAGCAGTTAGCCGCAAAAGAAAGTCTGTTTTTGAGGTCACTGAAAGAAGAAGACAAGGGGAAAAGCAGCGAAGCCAAACTAAGGTGATTCTTGGAGATTCATTCCAGCGATGGCGCGACTGAAGCAGACGCAGGGTCTAAAGACTGACACACTGGTCCACAAAATTACTCCTGGACAGGAAACTTCTGCTTATTATGAAAACGTACTTTATTTCCAAGAGCTAGACAAACGTTTTTCAGGACACGAAAGCGATATCCTATGTCCGCTTGCTGCTGCGTGTTGTAGCTAGTTCATTCGCACTGAATCTCCGCGCAACCTTCTCTGCACCCCTTTCCTGCTCCTCTCCCCGCTGCCCGTTCCGCTCTTCCCCCTGCTCCTCACTTCTCCGGGCACGGAATCTCCGCGCACCGCTCCCCTCTCCTCTCTCCTCTCTCCTCTCCTCTCTCCCTGCTCCACTCTTCTCCCTGCTCCTCACTTCTCGTCCGATAACGAAATGTCCGCGCCCCCCCTCCCCCCGCTCCTCACTTCTCCGTCTTGCCTAACCAACACTGTAGTTAGTTGTTTACAAGTCATGTGCAGTTCACCGGCTGTAAACAAACCTGTTTCTGGCGTAAGGAGGAGGCGGGAGGAGGCGTTTCTACGTAGGAGCTGTAGGGGAGGGGGGGTGGTTTCACGCATGCGCAACATTTGAAAAAGGACAAACAGTCGCTGGATTTCTCGATCCTTGGAAAATCCTCTATACAACCTTTAACAGATCCCTACACAATGCATAAGCACCACATATTTATATCATTAATACAATTTTTGAAGTATTATTGTCTTTACTGATCAAAAACACAATGATCACAGATATATATAATTACTTCTATATGTTTATGACAATACTATCATGGTGGAAGATAACAAAGTACAAAAGTAAAAGTACAATACTGAATTTCTCCTTTGTCATGGATTCTACCTGGACGACTGAGGGATTTTTCACACAATACGAAAACAAATTTTACAGTGGATAGTTTTTTACTTTTACTACTTTCTACTCCACTACATTTTTTAACTGACCTGAAAAGTAAAAAGTACTTTTCTTCACGGTTTGAGACCTGCTGAAATGCCTCAGACTTATTTTTAGTGCATTTAATTTGAGTTAACATGCTCAAATTTCATTAAACGAAATACACAAAAACAGCAAGGAAAATTAAGAAATCATTTGAATCCTTTAAAATCAACTAAATCCTTTATCAAAATCATTACATTTGATGCTTTAAATCAGGGGTCATCAAGGTTTTTTTTTCTCTGGGGGCCACATTATTGCTCCAGACTGCGATGGGGGGCCCAAGTTGGGACCCTGACGACACAGATTATTTTCTTTGAAAACCTCCACACTTTCTTTACACATCAGACAAACTGCATGGTTCTTGCACTGAACAAAAACTATTGGTCGTCCAGTGTTTTTCTTAAATTATTTCCTCTAAACACATGACTGTGTGATCCAGTCACATTTATGAGGAGTTTTTTGAGTCTGTGTCTATTGAGTCTGACAGATTTTGTCCAGACTGCAGTGAGTCTCAGTCTGTCCCAGCCCCAGTGTCTCCATATGAACCTCTGTCACTGCACCTGGTCACCAGGCTGGACTCAACACCAACATCACCCCATCACCTCCCTGACCCCCCATGACCAGAGCACACTCTTATGCACCCCCACCCCCACCCCAGCCCCCCTCCCTCACTATTCACCACAGATCTGTGCTGGGACTAAAACACCTGTTGATTTCATCAGTTTATGACTTAAATCTTCCTCCTGAGTGTGTTCATGTGAGTTTGGACATTTGAAATTGAAATTGAAAGTGAAATTTGAAATCGCAGCTGAAGTTGTTAAACAGTGGAAGTCTGTAGACGCTCCAGCTGACTTCGTCCTCACTCTCTCCCTCACACTTTCACGTGTCACAATACCAAACCTATTTTAGCCACATTTGGAAGTTCAGAGGGAGTTTCTAACCAAATACAGATTCATTTTCTATGTAAATAAAATACAAACAAGTGTGGAGGTGTTTGTAGCTGGATGTTGGTGAATCTGGCACAATTGTCACTTAAGAAGGAATCTGGAAGCATAAGAACACTTTGTGAATCTGAGTTTTCTCAGCATCCTCTGAAAGTGCAAGTTATGAACTTTTTTAAAGAAAAGATTCATGAATGAAACCCATTATCTCCATGGAGACAAGCAAGTGGTGGAAAAGTGACACACACAAATGTGACTCTTGTGAGATTTAAGTCATGTTACAATGTTGTCACTTCCTCACAAACACACCTGGACTTGTGTTTTGTTTCATTCACACATGTTTGAGTAACTCTTTATTATTAGTCTGTCTACATCTGCAAAGCTCAAAACACTCTGTTCCACCTTGTGATGTCATGAAGGGGTAGTTTTCAAGTGAATAGGTACATTTACCTTTGTCTGTATTCATCCAAATGACTCTAGTGAAGGTGTGTGGAGTTTAAAAACACAGTGGAGCACTTCTTATATTACCAGATGACATCACAAGGTGGAACAGAGTCTTTTCTACTGAGTGAAGAACTCAGCCTAAATGTGCAGGGTTTGTGTTTTAAACATGTGTGAAGTGAAAGAAAAGTCAAGTCCAGGTCTGTTTGTGACGAGGAAACGACATTAGAACAAATCAGAAAATGGAGTCATAGATATGAACTTTAAAAACCAAACCTCCATCTGCTGATCTAAATACACAGACTCAAAGTTCACATGTTTAGCACAGCCCAGAGATCTGTAAAGTCAACGTTTTGGAAAACTTCTCCAAATGATGTCATGACACAGAACTACAGTCGTTTACACAGAACCCACAGGAAACCAGACAGTGTCATGAAAACTCAAACAGAATAAAAACAGGGTTTGGCCGTTTCCTCCACACCACAAACACACAACTCTGTCAAAACAATGAACCGCTCAATTTACATGAAAGCAAAGAGCCAGAGCGAACCGTTTTTAGAACATGTCTTACTGCGATTTTACTGACAAACACTCAGATTACATCTGCCATTTATGTTTGAATAAAAGGATTCTGATCAAAGTTCATTTTAAGAAGAAGAAATGAGAAGAATTAATGAAAAGATGACAAGAATCACATTTCAGAACATGTTTGTACAGATTTAAACTACAGGATTAGCAGTTTTTATGCAGAATAAAACACATTTTTGTTTGTGGAGCAAATGATGATACATCAAATATTTCAGACTTTGTAATTTGCTATTCATTCAGATTGTGATTTTGATTTGATGAATCTGCTGATCTACAAAGATCCAGGACCGAGATTCAGTCGTTTCTGATGGTGAAGGATGAGCCTGGGTGTTTTAGAGGAGAGTTCTACAGCCAATCCTCTGTCAGGAAAAGACTTGACGACTCAAAGAAACATTGGTTTGGAGCAGAGTTAAAAGGAAGAAATGAGGCAAATGTGTGTATGAAACAGCAACGACTGAAAGTCTGTATTCATTCTGTTCAGGAAAGTCAAAGTGAAAGACGTTGTTATTTGTTTTAGTAAAACTAAATAATGGGAATATAACAGCAAACAACAATGAACAATGATGAGCCAGACTCATCCCTGCTGAACTTCACACATCAGACAAGATCAGGTGGTACGACTGCGATATGTAAATTCACTCACCCCACTTTTTTTATTGTAATTACTGTATATTTCATTTATATATGCAGTATATTTCATATGTTTTCAAGTTAAATATTTGTTTGGATTTACAGTAAAATGCATTTTATTCCAATGTTGCATTCCGGAATGTTGCATGTTGTGGATCTCCATGGAGATCTGCCGTCTCCATGGAGATCTGCCGTCTCCATGGAGATCTGCCGTCTCCATGGAGATTCTGTGGAACATCACTGGACTTTGTGACATCACAGTTTGTCTTGTGTAAGTGGGAGATCAGCTCAGATTTCTTCACTTCGAACCAAACCTTTGTAGAAGACACATCTCAGAACGAGACACTTCAGCAAACACTTTACTCTGTCGACCGCCATGTCCGCACACATCTCCCTCATGTCGACCAACGGCTCCATGCCCCCCTTCAAACGTCTGTACAGCCTGGCACAGGGCCTGGGTTTGCCCGTCAAATTCATCGAGTCCACCACGGCGCCTCACCCCCGCCCCGTCTTCACCGTCCGAGCTTCGGTCGGGCCCTTCTGGGCAGAAACGCGAGGTCCCAACAAGAGAGAGGTGAAGACCAGGGCCTGTGTCATGGTGACAAACATAGTGGAGACGTATCAGAGGAACCACAGTGGCGCTTATGGCTACAGCTACACCAACAGCTACGCCCACCTCCCGCCCCACT